TCCTATTCCAGATTTATAATATATATATATATATTATATATATAATATATATATATATATATATATTATATATATATATATTTATATACACACATACACACACACAGTGTGTGTGTGTGATACATGTGTATGATTATCATGTTGCTACGAGTGAATTTTTTTTATACAAGCCGAGAGCAAAAATATATGAAATAATAATCGTATATGAAATTAATGCTGTAATAATTTTGCTGCTCAAAGTTCCCATGGGCAAGCGAAAGATTTTTTTTTTTTTTTTAAATTATCAGGTGGGTTCGGCAGCCTTGGTCTAGCCTGTAGCATTTCTCAAACAGTGGGCCTCAGTCCCCACCAGCACCGTGTTATGAGGCATTAATAATTTATTCATGGAGAAGCACTGAACACGTAAGGGACATCCAGCACCTGGGGAATAGGAAGCAATCAGGCTTATTCCGAGAAAGGTAACATGTAACTCTACTTCCTTGAAATAGGAGCATTTCAGCATAGTGTTACAAGAAGTCCCCAACTTACGAACATATTGGGGACCCGAATTGTGTATAATATTCATAATACAGGAATTCTTCAATTTACGAACACGTTGGGGACCTTCTGTATTGTGTATATAATAATTATATACACAATGATACAATAATATACACAATGCAGAAAATTCTTAACGTGTTTATATGTCGGGTATTGTCCTTGAAAGATGTAACGAAGCAAGCCCGTCGTGTGGGTCGTCTGGCAAATTTCAGTCGACGTACTACTCGGTTCGCTTATAGAAACGGGTGTGTGAATAATAACGATGTGTGGATAATGAATATAAACAGATTAGGAAAGATGTATGTATGCGTCTGTTTTATTATCCTTAAGCAAACAGAAGTGTTTGTGAAACCCCAGTTAAAGCCGAACTCACATTTTACAAGAATCACCATCGATTCGAAAATTATTATTATTATTATTATTATTATTATTCAGGGAAGGGAATGCTAAAACTATGAATTATACAATACTTGCGGCCTCAAGGTAACCGTTCCAATGTAAGAAATAGAGTATAGAAATTCCTCGATGTGTCAATACGCCAGAGAACATGGGAACCACAGGTCAGTCTCTAAAGAATATCTAATTCCATCTGACATTCAGTCACTATTAGGATAAGCCAGGATAAGTCACTATTAGGATAAGCCAAACCTTGAAACAGATTTTGAATTATACGATTCAAAGAAGGGCTTAGAGGATACCAATAACATACTGCCAACAACAGTAATGAAGACACGTTACAGAATGTAGGAGAGTATTGGTTCACTAATTGAGTTGTAGACGAGTAGAACAATATGCCATTTTGTAGTAGTGAAGCTAAAACACTGAGTAGCTTTAAAAACATTTTTGAAAAATGTAAGGGTGAGAGGGGATGGGTGTGATGAGGACTCTCCTGACCTGGGTTTTTTGAAGCTAATTCCTTGTGTAGCTTTAGGAATAGTTTGGATAATGTGTGTGGGGGAATGGTTGAAGTTTACGAAGGCCAAATATGGGCCAGAAGACTTGGTGTAGTGTTTCTCCATACTTATTCTCTTTTATCTATGCAGCTTTTCACTTTCTGTAGAGTTTTATCTACTGGGAACGAAACATCCCAGTAAAATGTTCTGCAGCGGGTCTGTTCCTTCACTATTTTTTTCCTAGATTTATCAAATTCTTCTCCTTACCAATCTCTGTTTAGAATTCGAGGTAGTGAGTCATGCAGAGTTCCAGCCGGGCTGGAAAACTATCACCAATCTGAGTGTACTCTTTCACTGATTGCTCTCGTTACTCTGGCGATTACCTTTTTACCGATTTGTCTCCATCACACTTATTTATGACTAGAATGTTTTCCTTCACGTTTTGTGAAATTTAGGTTTTAATATATATATATATATATAATGTCGTGCCGAATATGTAAAACTGGTCAATTAGCAAGAACTCATTCAAAATTAAGTCTTCTCTAAAATTTTCTCTTATACGTTTAAAGATATATTTTTTTCATTATTGTTGATGTAAAAAATTATAATTTTGCACCAAAAGGAACTTAGAAAACTTACCTAACCTTATTATAACAAAAACAATTTATTTTAGCCTAACCCAATGAAATATATTTTAGATTTGTTTACAATAATTTAATACTAAATAAACACAGTGAAATATATTTTTTTCGTTAGGTTCAGAATGATTTTGGCGAAATTATTGCATACACAAATTTTCGCTTGTCCTATATGGCAAGATGAGCGTTGCTATTTAAGCCAAGATGGCAAGTTCTGCCTATTCGGCACGACATATATATATATATATATATATATATATATATATATATATATATATATATATATATATATATATATATATATTATATATATATATTATATACACGCTCATATAGTTAATGCTTTCGAGTGACATACTTTCCAGAAGAGAACAGAAAAACGTATTATTATTGTTTTATTATCAATTATTATATGAGATTAGGAGCTAAGCGACAGAACCATGCAGTACCTGGTGAATGACCGGGATGAGACAGTCAGGTTTGATCTGGGGAAGTAGAGGGTGCCTCCATTTCCTCGTACCAATAGCCATTTTCCCAGAATCAACTCAAGCCTTTCCGCCCCCCCCAATCACTCAAGGAACACGAGGAATTATGCGCAATAAAATGGCCTGATAATGGTAGCTGAGGTGGTCGAAACATCATGAAATGCTGAATGTAGATAATGGCATAGTTCCATAGAGGTTTAGAGCTTCCCCATATAAATAAAAATATTTCGATTCAGGTCAGCTCACTTCTGAAACAGGTCAGACCACTACTGATACAGGTCAGTTCACTATTTATACAAATCAGATCGCTGCTAGTACAGGTCAGATTACTGACAAGTCAAATCACTACCGATACAGGTCAAATCACTACCGATACAGGTCAAATCACTACCGATACAGGTCAGATCACTACCGATACAGGTCAGATCACTACCGATACAGGTCAAATCACTACCGATACAGGTCAGATCACTACCGATACAGGCCAGATCTCTACCGATACAGGTCAGATCACTACCGATACAGGTCAGATCACTACCGATACAGGTCAGATCACTACCGATACAGGTCAGATCACTACCGATACAGGTCAGATCACTACTTATAATAATAACAATAATAATAATAATAAAAATAATAATACCCAAATGGTATTTCAAAATAAATTCTCTAATACGTAATTATATCTCATTGTAAAGAAAAATAATTTTTGTATGTGTGAATTGTGGGTTATTGTGTACAAGTTCTGTTATATATTTTGTATAATAAAAAAACTAAATGTAATAGTTTTTTTCAATAAACTCCTCTTAACATAAGAACATAAGAAAGGAGGAACACTGCAGGAGGCCTGTTGGCCCATACTAGGCAGGTCCTTCACAATTCATCCCACTAACAAACATGTGACCAACCCAATTTTCAATGGTACCCAAGAAATAACCTCTGATGTGCAAGTCCCACTCAAATCCAACCCCTCCCACTCATGTACTTATCCAACTTAAATTTGAAACTACCCAAAGTCCCAGCCTCAATAACCCAACTAGGTAGACTGTTCCACTCATCAACTACCCTATTTCCAAACCAATACTTTCCTATGTCCTTTCTAAATCTAAACTTATCTAATTTAAATCCATTACTGCGGGTTCTCTCTTGGAGAGACATCCTCAAGACCTTGTTAATATCCCCTTTATTAATACCTATCTTCCACTTATACACTTCGATCAGGTCTCCCCTCATTCTTCGTCTAACAAGTGAATGTAACTTAAGAGTCTTCAATCTTTCTTCATAAGGAAGATTTCTAATGCTATGTATTAATTTAGTCATCCTACGCTGAATGTTTTCTAACGAATTTATGTCTATTCTGTAATATGGAGACCAGAATTGAGCTGCATAATCTAGGTGAGGCCTCTTTATTTCACTCAGAGATGTTTATTAATTTATAAGAGGCTCAGGGGAGATTTCATGACGTCGGTGTGACGCTCTTGATCCAAGGAAATTGGAGCTGTATGGCCCTTATGGGTTTAGCGCTCAACCCCCTTCATGAATGAGATAATCCGTAAGGTTCTTCCCTGATTCTCTCTCTCTCTCTCTCTTTTTCTCTATGTATTTATGGATATGTGAACGAGTTTTCCATTTAAGGCTACAGTGACTCCTTCAAGGTTACAGTGGCCCCGTTCAAGGTTACAGTGACCCCGTTAAAGATTACAGTGACCCCGTTCAATGTTACAGTGACCCCGTTCAAGGTTACAGTGACCCTTTCAAGTTTAGTGGCCCCTTCAAGGTTACAGTGGCCCCTTCAAGGTTACAGGGGCCCTTCAAGGTTACAGGGGCCCTTCAAGGTTAAAGTAACCTTTTCAAGTTTATAGTGGCCCCTTCAACGTTACAGTGGCCCCTTCAACGTTATAGTGACCCCTTCAAGATTACAGTGACCCTTCAAGGCTACAGTGACCTCATCGAAGTTACAGTGACCCCTTCGAAGTTACAGTGACCCTTCAAGGTTACAGTGACACTTTAGGCTTACAGTGACCCTACAAGGTTAAATTTTATCCTTAGACTCAAAGGACATAAGGGTTCAATCTTTTAATAGAGTGTTCTTACCTATACGTGGCTGCAAGAGTCGAGTCTCGGCTCCTGGCCCGGCATCTCCGCTGGTAACTACTGGGCTCAGTCATGGCTTCGAGAGCCTTATTGTACCTCTTCTTAAAGCTATGTATGTAACCTACCTCTACCACAATGTTCTCCATTTCGTTCCATTTCCTGATGATTGAGTGCACTGGTGGAGTGTGTACTGGAGACGGAATGTACTTAGGAGAGTGTGTACTGGAATGTGTGAATTGGAGGCGGAGTGTGTGTCCTGGGAGGACACTGGAGTATGTATTAGGAGTGTGTTTACTACGGGAGTGTATGTACTCTGCATTCTACGGAAGGGAATGTACTGGGAGTGAGGTGTATAT